TATATATATAATTTATACCCACAAACAAACTTGCGTAAACAGCAAAAAAAAAAAGTAGAGGATGGCGGTTTAAGAAAGTAAACAAATGGTATCAGAAGTTATGAGAAGTTCAGCGTAAAAAAAACACAAATTAATTGTTACTGACTTATTCTATAATTGATCTGACATATCAACTTGCTGAATTTTCGAACCTACTTTCCCATGAAACTCACACATTTGCTTTTGCCCCCAACATTTATTTTCTGATGTAGTCCATCAAGAAAGTTCTTTGAACAAACCGTCCCGTGCTTTAAATTTCGAAATTTCTCTCCTCTTCTCTTCATCATCTTTCCATCAATCCCTCTTATTTTATATTCTGCAATGAAAACAACGAAGAAAGTAAGAAAATGCTAGAATGATTTTAAGACACCCAATGTTCCTTTTTTTTTCATCAAAAGTTTTTTCTTTCGTCATCTACAAAAAGATAAGCTTCTTCTTGGATCATCACCGCTACATTTTGCTGACGTATTATAAAAATTGTAAAATGACGCCAGAATAAAAAGACAAACGCTCTCATTTATACACGTATGTATACACTTATATATGATCCTCCCTCCAACATCGAAATGACATCAGACGAATTACAATGGATATAGAAGAAAAAGCACAGAAAAAAAATAGCAAGTCAGAAAAGCTAATTGAAATATTGAGATCTGTATCTAATGGAAAACCAACAATGACGCCACTGCTATTGTTGTCGCTGCTGTTTGCTTCTGCCGTTTTTGCTGCTGTCGATCGTGATGATGCAATCCAGCACCGACAAAAGGTATCAAAACAAGCATCAGCCAAGCAGATAATGATTATGCAAGACGGAGACGGTCTTGTTTCAAAGACGGATGGAGACCACCTGATCATTGCCTGACGGAGTGACGGCGTCATGGCGCTCAGCGAAAAACGAACTTCATGCACTGCTCCCCCCACGTCCACCAATTTTGGCCGCTTAACCGGACGGCAGATGTTGCCGCTGTTATTGCTGGACAACACAAAACGAATGGCACTTTTTTGTTTCGAAAAAAAAAAAATCAATTAAACCATAGCTAACATGATGGCGGGCAGGAGTAGGAAGAAGAAACATGCTCAAAAACAAGTTTATTGTCACAACTCACTACTCCTAGCCGTTCAAAAAAAGTTCCAACATGTGTACGTGCACATATTTGTAGGCGTATGAAAGTGTGTATCTTCAGAACAAATCTAAAACCTGCCCACCTGAGAACAAAAAGGTGTTTTTTTTTTCCTTCAATCAAGAACTGATGGGCAAGATTGCAGTAAATAAAAAAATTGATAATAAGTCCAAGCGAAAAGTGTTTCAACACTAAAATAAAACTTAGGACAAAAGGAGAACAAAAATTCAATTCAAAAATTCGTCTCATCTGCTCAGCATTGCTCGTCTTTCGTACAGATTAATGAGCCAAAGATCATGAGCTGCGGCGTAGGCTAAACTCCCCGGCGCGCAAACATCTGAAGTTGCAAATTTACAGCAAAAATAGAATTCAAATACACCAACTGCCTTCTCGAAGCTATTCCCACTACAAGTTGCGGCCAAACTGTTTAGGAAATTTGACTGATCATCCTCAACATGTCAAAGACCAAAACTTATTTGAACCCATCGAATTGGTGGAAGAGTCTCATCGTGTATCTCGTTTCGAACACCACCTACTAACAGTCATCAGTTGACTGTTACACTCTCTACAATTGTTTATTTTTCGCCTCTTTCATAAATAAAATTTTCCTGCTTTGTCAAATACTAAATTCTGCAGCTTCAGCGAGAATCCCCTCAAACTAATGATCAGAACTTGCTTGGTCGACAAATTCTTTTCTGCCTCTCTTCCTACCAAGCTATTATCGTTCTCCGTACTGCTGCCAATAATATAATATTACGGGTTCACTTAAACAACTTTTTATACCATCTTTCAAGCAATCCTTTTCTAATTTCACAGAATGAATCACTCGGAACATACGAACAACGAAAGTATTTATTTCAAATAAACATTAATTGAGGCCTAGGATGCCCGCCTCCAACACATTATTAGGAAGTTCAAGGTAGGACTGAGCAATAAACTGCCAACTATACGATGCGAAAACTACAACAATTAGTAAAGCGAGAGAAAAATATAAGAACCTGTTCAGTGATCCCCCTAAAAGCACCGCTTCACCTGGAGTTTTTAAAGAGAAAAGGAAATTATCTGGATATGCTGAAAACAAAACCCAGACCAAATCACCAATAAAAAAAGGATATGTCCTTTTAAGTTTAATATAATTGAACAATTACTGCCAATTTTGAAATAATCTTGTCCGGAGGAACTTTATTAAGTAGATTTTGTATAGCTTGATTGAAATCAAGTGGCAGTATAAGGAACGTTACACCGCAAAAACCATAATTGTAAATCCAACGAAAAAATAAATTACAATTAAGATTAACTGATAAAAGCAAACGCTGATTTTTGAAACCGACTGTAGCAAACACGAGTTAAAAATAAACTCACCAGCTTAAACGCAAACATGCCCAAGCTGTACCACAACATGTGCCGGTAGCCTCTAAACAGTCAGGATTTTGATATGGGCAATAACGTTCATTTGACCAAGAAAAAAGAAAGAAACCACGCGTAAAAGAATTTACCCAAACGCAAATAACATTTATTTTTGAGTATAGCATTTACTACTTTAGGATTTAAAAGATGACGAAGAAGAATATTTTCAATTTTTAGTTGATTATTCAACTCATAAAAGTTCCTTTTCATCCTCTCTGAAAACTACTTTCCTGACCTTCACACAAAATGAGGTATTTAATCAACAGTTCTTTTACTTACTGAAATGAAGTAAGCCCTATACAAAAAACTTTCATGACAACTTCGAACTACTGCGGCCCGAATAGATAAATACTCTTCCCTCAAGTCAAGAAGATTAGTTCCTCCCACCTCAAACAGTCCTACGAAATGAGGATAATACACTATAAATGCAAAATAATTTCTCTACAAATGAATTCCCGATAAAGATGAAAATTTCTAAACTAATTAGCCGCTAAACGACATTCTAAAATGAAACAAAAATAAAACAGAATTTCTAATTAGAACTTTGAACCACAATATTCCCTGCGGAAGAAGTATTTATAAAATTCAAATCACTCAAATAATAAAAAAATAAACTAGAGCAATTTTATCAGCTTAGTGACCTGCTTCAAATTAGAGAACTAGACTTTCAAGCTCGAAATTACTGATATGAACCATGAATTAACGATTTACCTAACATGACAGTATTTAAGGCAATAATGCAACCGTCCAACCAATCTGTGAGTTTATTTTAGAAACAAATTCAAAAATGTTACAACCGTTTGTACTTTAAAATATATGTTCTGATGACTCATTCAAATCGATTTGGTTTCACCTTTCACTTCTTTTTTTACCCTCCCATGACGACTCTTGAAACAACAGCTGTAATATTATTAAAAAGCGTTATGACGAAAGGTAACTCAAACCACTTACCTCACTTACCAATACCACAAAACTACTAATAAACTGTCTTAAAAGTCAGAGGATCTCACCTACAGCGACGCGCGCAATGCGGAAAACTTTCTGCCAAAACAGCCGGAAAGAAATCGGAGAACTATTCACAATAAGAACATTAATAATGCATATAACGCGACGAGATATTCATAAAAAGCAATCTCAAAAAAGTATTTTTTACTGCAAAAAACCAACAAGTGAAATAAACCAATATTGCTTCTGTTATATTACCAGTCAGGAGGATGAAGTCTTCTAAATCAGTTTTAAAAAATCGCGATATTAAGTAATAGTCGTGCAAAGACGACCAAACCTGACCCAGTCCATGTTAATGGAACGACGATAATGCAAAACGAGATATATCCCTGGCTAAATCAAGCGAAAAAAATTCACTTCTTAGAAAAAAAAAATTCTGAACTTATCGTCGTAACATCAGAAAAAAAAAAAAAAAAAACACCTACTGCATCTTTAATAAGGCGTAAGAATGCAATACAATCACTCAATCGCGATGTTTTACATTTTTGCCGATAAGGAGTTGTAATAACAATTCTGTCTGGTATTCATGTAATCCTCAAGCTTAAATGCAGAAAAAAAATCTCTTTTTTTTCTAATCGAAACACTTATCGCACGAAGGATCTACTCGACACTGGAGGCAGTTTCTAAAATGCACAAAAAGTACAGAAAAAGAAAAAAAAGAAAGGTAATAAAAAGCTTACTGCATGGTTTGTATGATAACAGCAGACCGAAGTGCTGCTGTGGCTATTGCGCTTTTATCAGTTTCTCCCTTGCATTTAAAACACAGGCAACAGTAAATTTGAAAATTCAAATAGGCTACATTTGGTGTTGGGTTGTTTGCATTTGGAGGGTCCCTGGTATTGCAGGATCTGTAACTCAAAGTTTAAAATAATATTAGCCAATACTACTGGTGGCGATCGTCTTTCATGTAAGCCGATTTACTGATTGCTTATTAAATAGAGTTTATTTTGAAAATCGTTTGCAGCACATTTTTCTAGGAATCATGTATCCAAATTTTTTCAGAATTTCTTTGCAAAAATTCTTTTTCTTTGTTACTAAACATAACATTAACAAAGAATTGCTGCAATGTTGATATATTAACTCGTTTATCTAAAATCTATTCCCAAGCTAGTGCCTCTGTTTCCGAAATTAATTTAAGACTGATTTGATCAACTGTAATAATTCAGTGAGATTTCAAATTTAAAAAAAAAAATGAAAAAACAGTTGTCATTTTGTTGCAAAAAAAACCTTAATTGTTTTCAGTTAACACGAAAACAGTTCAACTTATTTATATTGCTTGCGACCACATACGATTAATGTGCAAAGTAGAGCAAAAAAAATTTTTGAATGCTGATGTAATCATAAATACTTTCAAGGGAAATTTGAAAAATGGAAAAAAAAAAACAAAAAAACTTTTCTAAAAGAGTAGTACAAACCATTCTTCACTGAGCCACCAATATGCGATATAATTTAGCAAACTGAAACTATATCTATACATACATACTTCCAGTGATATCCGTATCTCCTACAAACAGTCAACTATCAAAAGATAATGCACCCAGCAGATACGGATGCACCTATAACTCAAGTTGGTTGTTTGATGATAGATGATGAAAGCATTTAATTTTGAACTACCAACCTTAATCATATTGTCCTCCTAGCTGCACAGCGAACAGCAAAACCACTGACTGTTAGCACGATGGAGTACCAACCAGGTGAACAGAATACCATTACGGGTTTAGCATACTGAATACTGAAGGCTAAAGTTTATTTCATATAGCATAACTATAGACTAATAAGCAGCACAAATTTATAATACTGCAGCAGGCAATTTAGGATTTTGGCGCGCTATTCACTGCATTTAAATGTCTACGGTTAAATTTTTTTTCCTTTTTTGGCAAACACTCATTAGAGTGTAAAAATTTTAAATTTATTTCTCTAGACAGGTTACCAGTTATTGTTCTAAAATTCTGGAAAAGCTACTTTATTAATTGTTTTTGCAAACAAATATAGTTTTCTTCTGGTTGCTCCGTTAACCTGTTTGTTCCTACTGCATTTTGATGCAGTATTTTTCCTGTTTTTTTTTTGTTGGTGTGAATCAGTGTAATCTTCACATTTTGTACAGCCCGATTAATACTGCCTATGTTCTTTTAATTTCTGTTTTTCAATTCTATAACGAAGATAGCATGCTTTTTTCTCCTTTTTTTTAACCGAAGAACCCGCTAATTAACGGCACTTATTACAGGTGATACATATATTTACTCGCTTGCTTAGTTATTAGTTTGGTTTTACTGGAATGTTATAAACTGAGCTGTACTTGGGCAAAATTTGATTTCTTTCAATGTTGAGGTTATTAAGGAAGGGAAAGACGGTACCTTCACTTATCGGTTTTCAAAATTTTCTACATTTTTTCAATGAATACTGAGTAACTGGTGCACCTCTGCCCGTGTTTTTTCTATGAAGACGCTTAAAGAAATTGCAGCTTGGCGTTTTGTTAACCGACAGTGGTCTTGAAATACCATTTGTCTTTAAAATTATTATATTTTTCAGCGGAACATGAAGGCTGTTAGTCAAAAAAGTAAAGTAAGTTGTCTAAAAAGTAGTAAATAGCAGCAATTGATGGTTTTATAACTGCTATTGGTAAAAGAGAATTACTTTCAGCGGCACTAACAGCAATGGTAGTAGCGATAATGTTATTATCATTGCTTTCATTTTTTTTATTATTACAGTTACCATTTTCAGGCACCTGCAACAAGTATGCTAGATTAAAGAAATAATGTATTATGAATTAATTGGGTCACTTGGAGTTCTTAGATG